CAATGCTCTTGCACTATGTCCATCCCACAGGCCTCTGCTATACCTCTGTAGACATCCTGTAACTTTACCGTTGCAGACTCCGCTCTCTTCTGGATGGTAGCAAGGCTGGCCGCGGTTCCTTCATGGGATTTAGTTTTTGACGCACGCATCGTGGATCCCACCGTCAGCACATTTCCCAGCTCCCACTCTTTCTGCCCAGCTCCCACCCTCCCCAGGCAACTCCACCTGGTCACCTCTCTCTCTCTCTGTGCTTTAAACTAAACTACTTGTATTTTACCAGGCAAGGCCCACTGTGCTATGTAGCTCTTTTTCAGAAGCAACTTGGCTACAAATGGTAGCTCGACGAAGTGGCATATGTAGAAATTTACAGCAGCCAATACTCTAAACGCATGTTGATTCACACTACCACGGGGAGAGAGACATGCAGACGCCAATATACAGCAGGTTTCAGAGTCGGGATCAAACCCACGACCTCTTGCATACCAGGCGAGGTAGTAAATATCTCACCAACTGGCGCTTTCAAATTTCTCCTCAAAGTTTTCCCTTTAAACCATGTTTTCGGACCTCTTTCATTTGTTATTTTCTCTTTTATCTCCTTTGCCTGGTCCGTGCCATTCTCTCCCGTTTCCTCATTTGTATTTCCACGCTGTGAGACACTTGTTGTATGTTATGGGTGCATTAAGATTGTGAGTTATTGTTGTATATGAGGAATTCTGGCTATGTGAACTTCAGACGTTGCTCCGTGGCCGTGCATGGTGCCGTGGAGTTGCTGGGTGCCCCCCATGTGTGCCTCACCTGGCCCTGTCTCTGTGTCGGCAGCGGTGGCCAGGAGGAGCAGAACCTCGGCTGATGAGGACGCGCCGCTGCACAGCAACGTCGGCGTTTGGAAGGCAAAGGGTAAAACAGAAGCTGACTTTGTTTTAGCGAATGACTTATTATAATCCATTACTTTATCATAATCGTTCAGCATACTTAACAAACACAATTATAAAACTGCATGGCTCACAATAGGTTCTGGGGCGCCGTGGTCAGATATTAACTACCTCGTCTGGTATACAGGAAGTTGTGGGTTCGATCCCGACTCTAACACCTCTATATTTGGGGTTTGCATGTTCTCCCTGTGGTCACGTTGATTTTCTCCGGGTCCTCCAGTTTTTCTCTCTACATTTAGAATCAACATGCGTTTAGATTATTTAGATTATTTTGCTGCTATCAATTTACACATGATAAGCCACTTCGTTGAGCTATCATTTGTGGCAGGTCACTTCTGAAAAAGAGCTATATAGCTCAGCTTACCTGGTATATAAAAATAGTTTAATATATATTAATGATGAAATCAAGGAGCCATCCTGTTCTCAACCAGCGATACTTAACATTATTCACTCCTATACCTATCCCACCTCGTTCGTGGGATGATTCAACCAGATTTGCAAGTGGCAGGCGTGCGGGTTTTAGGCTGCATCACCACTGATCGGAAGATATGTGTGCATGCTTCACCACACTGGTTAGTGCACACTGGTGAACTCACCTGACATGGGGAAATACAGGCCCATTAGCCTCTGGTGACACTTATACAAATTGATCTAAAAAATAATTGAAAACGGAACATGGAAAATAGAGAAGGACAGCCAACCAATGTGAGCAAGCAGCATTTAGGAACATGTTATGTGGATACTGGTAGAGAAGTCTACCAATCACATTTTGGAAAGAAACGAATGAATATCAAAGAGCATTGTATATAACCACTGTAAACCATGGAAGATATTCGACTCAGTGAAAATGTATGCAGTCAGCCACCCTCTCACAAACCAAGGCCTAAATAATGCAAATATTTAAAAGTAATATTACATTAAATGAAAAAAAGTGTTGCTGGCTGGCTGGTTGCCTTAATTCCTGGCTGGCTGGTACGCCAGCAGGCAAGTGTGCGTACACGATGGTGACATGATCTAATTTATTTAGACAAATACTGTAATGTCCTAAGTAAATAGCGAGACGACCACCGGCTGGGTATTAATCAACCTGTGCAAATCGAATGCTGAACACCGCACCATTCTTAGAACAAATGAACCTTATGGCGGGACCCTGGGGTCCCATAAGCCCCCGGCTCTCACATAAACTGCGTTGCGATGTCATTTTATGTTTGTTGAAGGCGAACAATACGGCAATCTATTCCTCTCGACGAGCTCTACACGATGCGCTAATCAAAATTCAAAAGTTTTGTTTATGACTACGGCAATTTTGGCAACGACGGGTGCTTGGTGAAGAACAAGAGGATTGATTTCTGGTGGGTCGCGGCGTTTATGTGCGTGGTGGATGGAGTCGCCAAAAATAAATAAATTAATTACGATTTTGACTTCCGTTTATTCGGGACCCCGGGGTCCCGCCATAAAGTTAAAATATTAATCAGTTAGCAAACATTGTTTCTGCTCCAGTTTTTTTTGCTTCAATTACATTTTTGGTGGCATTTTTATTATTTTTCGTATCCAGTTGCAAGAGGGTTTTCCGTATCAAATTACATTTGAGAAGGGGAGTTAGACAAGGAGACGCAGTAATGCATTGTTTACCATATAGCAATTATTTAAATTTCCACATTACACTGTAAACTATCTTAAGGCATTCACACTGATCTTTTTTAAAGCTAATCATCACATTTCCTAGAAACTTGATTTGCATGCAAGATTTTCAAAATGGCTCTGACCATAATCACAGTGGCCAAAGATGTCGAATAATAAGCGTGGCTACCGATGAACACTCTCAACCACTGCACTATTTTTTTGCACGCACTATATAAAAAATTGTGACTGCTGTAATGCAGTTTATGGGTGTGGTTTCATGAGCCAGTGGGTGCTGCCACTGTAATTTTGTTGTTTACAAATTCATCGTTTTGCATTTCCGTGCGTTTTCTCCATGAAGACGAAAGAGGAAGTTGACGAGGAAGCCAGAAGAAAGGTAACGGCCGGTGGGGATCCCATGGTCACAGGGTGCAGGTTGCCTCGATCAATGGCGGAGCCAGGATTTTCAGGTAGAGGGGGAAACCCCTCCAGAAATTAAAATGATAGGAGTTGTTAGTAAGTAAGGACTTTCGTAACTGCAGGGATCCATACTCTTGGTTCTTTCGGTAAAGTCACGTAGGTATAAAATAAAATAAATTAAAAAACAATTGCTGTGGTTGTCCCAACTGATGACGGATGCTTGTGTTGCGCCCGAAACGTCGTGATTTAATTGATTTTATTTAGACCTACGTGAGTTTACCGAAGAACCAAAGAGTAAGTAAGGACTTGTCCCTTTATTTTTATTCGACGCGTGTGCGGCGATGGTGCAGCCATCGATCGAGGGTCGAATTTGAACCGTGTGTGATTGGCATCGCGCTCGCTGAAGGTGAATGCCTTCAGGGAAGTTGTGTACTGTATACGCAACTGCGCACAATTCTGTGAGTCACTTATAGCTGCTTTGCCGTTACTTATTGCCAATTATGAACTCGGACTATTGTCCTATCATCTCATAGAGTTCCTGGCACATAATAATATGCTACCACAGTGGCAGTGGGGGTCGCAAAATGCCGATTTATTTCTAATAAACCCCAATGATCCGATCGAAATTAGGGATTTCAATCGGATCATTGGGTGGGCACGAGCCACCCCCCCCCCCCCCCCCACTGGCTCTGCCACTGGTCTCGATGGTCTTGCTGACCACTCGATGAGATTCCCACGCCATGGCAGAGTGCCTAGAAAAAATGCGCGGTACTCTCAGTTGAGCACTCATATGTTATTTCTCAATTTTGATAAACTCTATTGTCTCCACTTAAAGCTTTCGTGACTGCAGGAATTCATATTCTTTGGGTCTTTCTATCTACGTGGCTTTACCGAAAGACCCAAAGAATATCAATTGTCTCCTTTTTATAATAAATGCACATTGCTGTGCTTCAGCACTATCTTTGAAATACATGTTTTATATTTCTGTAAAATGAAATGTAAATACTCCCCTGTATGCTGGTTTAAAGTCGGGACAAATATTACGTGGGCACAGGTAAATCTTCGTGAAATGAACAAACCCTCATCTCGGTTGTGGGATGAAGCTCTCTAAGAAAATAGTTTTTTTGACCATAGTGCGGGAAGCTCCATGAGGTCATAAACACTTAATATGTCATAACTCATCACATTCACAAATGTTAAACATATATAGTTGTTGATTTGGAGCTTTCGTGACTGCAGGAATCCATACTCTCTGGTTCTTTCGGTAAAGTCACCTAGATAGAAAAAATACAAAACTAAATAAAACACGACGTTTCGGTCGCAACACAAGTGTCTGTCTTCAGGTGTGAAAAAATGATCTGCTGTTGGGGCTTTATATACGCACGGGAGGAGAGAAGGAAGGGGGGGGAGGAGTTTGGCTGTGGGAGTTCACAGGAGAGAAGGGGGAGGGTTTGCGGCGTGCATGGACGGGTGGGGCTAGAGAAATTAGCAAGTAAATGGACTTGTAGTACAAGTCGTAATCGGACAACGACAACTGGGTGGGTGAGAGAGGACGACGACTACCGGGTGGGTGAGTGAGGACGACAATCGGGTGGGTGAGTGAGGATGAAAACCGGGTGGGTGAGTGAGGATGACGACAACCGGGTGGGAGAGTGAGGACAACGACGACAACTGGGTGGGTGAGTGAGGACGAAGACAACCGGGTGGGTGAGTGAAAATCATAGCAGTGTTGCAGCCGAAACGTCGTGTTTTCCCGTGCCTATATAAAGCCACAACAGCAGATCATTTTTTCACACCTGAAGATGGACGCTTGCGTTGCGACCAAAACGTTGTGTTTTCTTTAATGTATTATTATTTTCTATCTACGTGGCTTTACCGAAAGAACCAGAGAGTATATATATATTTGTCTTTGATATGGTGGTAGAGCTACACAATTTTACAGTAAAGGCCAATCTTTTATGGGCTTCATCCCACTACCTAATCATAAAAAAGTCGCAACAACAATTCTTGTCTCGCGCTGTCAGGGCTCGAGTGGAAGGAGAAAACGGATCCCCTTAGGAACCTCATTAAAGAGCTGATGGAGATCCGCTGGTGAGGAGCTTCTCTCTCTTGGGCTGTTTGTACCCCCCCCTCTCCCCACACGTGGCTTCTCTTCTGGCCAAGGCTTTTCCTGGAGTCGGTATCTACTGCTCAAGTCAGCATTGGGCAGCAGTCGTCTCTAAGCTCTCCAGTGGGAATGTGTCCACAGGATAACCCCTCTTGATATACAGGGGAGCTCAAAAAGCAGGTCACATAGGGCTTTCTGTTTATTTTAACAAATCACGGAGGGTTATTGAATTTTTTTTTAAATGTTCAAAATGACTTCCAGTAATATTAATGTATTCATTAATTATTATTTTTAATGAATTTAGGGATTTTTTTACAATTACAGCAGCATAACTAGAAACGAATTGAATTTGTTAATCTTTAGTCAATTAATTTTACGCATTTGTAAATGTCACCTGAAATAGATATGAAAAATATAATTGATTAAATATTAACTTAGAGACTAATCAATTAAAATGCTTTAATGCCATTGTTAAAATAAATTGAACAACCATACGTGTCATTACTTTGGGCCACCCTGTACTGACAAAGAAGTTGAATCATTTCTGATGGGATGATGGTCTGAGTCAAACTTACAACCTAACATTTGTAAAATGCACCATCAGAAGATTCTGCTACTTGGCTGGATTATCAAGCTTGTTTTCATATGTAACAGATATTAACTTTACACTTTTGCATGCTTAGTGAACCAAACGAGCATGTTAGTCTTGTTTCACTTTGTTAAATGTTGTTCGCATTACACTCATCTGTAAAACGTAAGCGTTGTTGCTCTTTGTTAATGCCAAAATATACTTTTAACAAGGAAGAAATGTCATGTATATGCACAGATTTTGTAATGCTTTCCAACATGAATATATATTTTGTATGAATGCGTATGACCTGTTATGGGTCAGAAACATGGATGGAAACAGAGAAAATGGAAAAAGAAATTCAAAAGCACATCAATAAACTTGGAGAGTTGCACAAATGGCATTACATTGAGAGACAGAAAGAGGAACATATGGCACAACAAATGCATAGTAAATGCATCATATTGACTGTTAAGAAAAATAAGTCAGCTTGCACAGGATGCACCGCTGGAAAGGATGATGGCCTCTGGGAATGCGCCCTTGAGGATGACCATCACAGAGATGGAGCAATTAAATAAGCAGGTATACAGATGCTGGATGGATTGTTACATCACAGGCAAATAAGAAATGGCGACATCTTGTGGAAGCCTTCATCCAGCAGTAAAACTATCGTGGTTGATGATGAACAACGTTAGCCTCCTAGTCGCATGATGGGATGATGTCATGCGACATATACCATGACATCACATGCAGGTAGAAATGAGCATACTCATTTGCATGCTCATATGAGTTTGGAGACACTTTGGCATAACATAGCTGCTTGCTTCCAGGAATGAATAGCTTGTTTGTAATGTAGCCAATGCATTATGTATGTGAATGCAATAGATTATGTTGGGCTTATTGTAATACCAGCGTGCGTCTATTTGACAGGTATGACAGCTCCTCACTGCCATGCCTGCAGAGTCTGCTGAACATGCTGTCTGCAGAATGTGTTGAGGACAGAGAAATATTGCTTAATGTTTTCAAGCAAGAGGGCGGTCCAAGTAGGTTTTGTATTCTGACACGTTTTTCATTAAACGATTAAAGGTAAAATATTTAATCAACTCAGTACATAAACATCATATCACGTCAAGTTTATATATATGTTTTAACCATGTGAAAACCCAAGAGACCAGGATAGTCTCATTTACAACATAGACCTAGGCCACCAACGTGACATTGCAAAACAAATCATATAAAGTACAGCAATGAAAAAATAGAAATCAGAGCAAAAACAACCGTGGCACATGAGAAATCCAAAATATGATGCAAACATAAATAAATGTTAAATAATACATTCCCTGTAATGGAAGGTGGCTCTTGTAGATTATTTTTAGACTGAACAGAGCACAATTACGAATTATTTAATGGACAGATTACACAGATAGAGGGAGATGACTAATAAGTAAACAGACGAGGATATATATGAGTTAAATGGCCAATGTTAGTCTATGGGCAATGTAAGTTTGCAATGTAAGTCCCTTGAAAAATGTTAGTATATGGTGACTATTATACTAAATTGTAAACAGACAAAGATATACGAGACAAATTCCATTGGAATTTAAGTCATCATAAATGTCTCGGTTCCTATATGCTGTAAAACAAGAGGATGGATGGGAAAAAGAGTGAATGATTAATGTGGAAATTCAAGTTCGGGAAACTTATAGAGGATTTAAATCGAGTATCAGCCACCCGTTTTCACGTGCATTGAATTTCCCTCATCTCTTCCACTAATCACCACACAAAACTACCATGGCAGAATACAACTTTTGGATTCCAGTTAATTCATTAAGGTGTCTTAATCAAGCGTTTTTTTAATGAGCAGGGTACAGAAAGTCTCCTCTCTTTTCATTAAGAATTATTGTGTGGTGCTGGATTAAAGTGACCCGTTGTTAATTAGGTCCCCCACTCCAAAAGCAAACATGCACAGACATAGCACAGACTCATGCATCACCAATTCCTACCATTATGTTGATAATGAATTATATAGTTAGACACCTAGGAACTAGCCACACCGCATTCAAATTCAACATTTGTTCAAATAATACAGCTTGTGCGATGCCATAATCTTACATGGGTCTCTTGTAACTTATTTTCTAGCGCTCTTACAGAAGATGATTGAGTCTTGCAGGCTTGACAAGTCACGAGTGCAGATAATAACGTTGAGGAATAAGATTACTCTGCTTCTGTCAGAACATGAACTCTTTGGAGGTAAGATCTCTATTCTTAGCCTTGACTTTAGTTAATCTGTATAAAGAATTGCCAGAAAGCCTAAAAATATGCGGATTATTCGCCATTACCGTTATTCCCCCATGGATTCTACTCTGTGTTGCACAATCTTCATTTGTGTCATGCATTTGGTGAGATCTCTGCATTGTATGTTTGCATCAAAACACATCTAACCGTCATATTTTTTCAGTTTTGTACCACCTGCTATGTCGTTGCTGTCCTATGTTAATTTTCACAAATAAGTATGAAATTGGTCCTTGTTTACAATGCGTACACGGCTGATCAGAACTCACATGTCCCCACTGCTATAGTGTTCAAGTTAGAGTTTTCTTTCAAACAGATTATTGGACAATGCAGTGTTGGCCAACCGATGCCATATAGACTTTGTAGGCTGGCGCTCATGGCTTTACCATTTACACGTTATTGTTTCAGGTTTCAAATTCTTTTATAATTTGCATGTATGTACAGTAACTAGTTTCCAATGTACAGTCTGTTCTCCTATAACGCGGTAGTTGCGTTCCTGAAGAACACAAGCATTGTGGAAAACCGAGTTATAATACATGATATCTAATTTATGGTAAAGCCCAGTCCACGATAACACATGAGATGCATATACAGGCTGAACAAAGACAGGCACGTGGGTAGCATCTAGAAGCATCCAGCAGTATCCCACCTTGTGTGATGCTACGCCGAGGCAGTCGTACAACTGCTTATTTCTACTCGTGCGACGGAATTCTGTTAACTCAATCGCATTATATCCAGTTCGCATTATACAAAATGTGTTCCCAAATACATTCATCACGTTATATCCAATTCGCGCTATGAAAACACCTGGCGTTATTGGACAACAGACTGTATTTTGTAATGCGGCCATTAGCTGCAATTGATTTAGAAAAATAATTGTACTTGCCTTTCGTCACACTTTATCTTCTTTTGGTGTAATAGTTGGAAAACAGTTCGAGAAGACTGGAGACATTGCAGGAGATCCCTCAGACGAAATCAAGCTGTGGCCCGAGCAGAGTGGCAAGGTGTACATCCCCTACAGCATCTCCATCGCCTTCAGTGAGCGCAGCGTGCACTGCCTGGCCGCACGTTTCATTCCACACAATGGGCTTCACGACCAATATTATTATTATTGGTTTATTTTGGGTTAGATCGTATAAGTGTTGTTGAATTGGAGCTGTAAACTCTCAACCGTCCGACTAAGCCAAACAAATGAAGTGGTAATGTGCTACTATAGCCCACGTGACAACTTGGTTATGTTGAAAAGCAAGCTAAATTGTACCTTTTGTTACACGATGTTTCGCTAGAAATTACCCTCAGCGTCATCAGGTTTCAACAAGATCTCAACTTTCGAGTGAAACTTCGTATAAAATTGTCAAGTTTTTGCTTTGCGTTGTTCGACTGAAACACTGTTAATGTACTTTTGTGTAACATTTTCAGACCACGCATCATACTTGCCTATGCTATATTTATTCATTTATACCGTCACAAACTTCACATTATCCTTACCCTTGTGACACTCCTCTATATAACCACGCCCAATATATCCATTGTGGTTCCACCCAACCTGAATTGCATCGTTCCTCACCATTTCCCTGTTCAACATTATCTTGAGAAATGTGCGTTTAGATGCTTTCTCCTTCCACTTGGTAAGGTTCGTATCGGTCTCTTCATTCATAATGTTTTGCTACGGCATGAAGGGAGTAAAACTACTAGTAAGTAGCATCAATGTGAGAGTAGCATTTTCCTTTCAGATGCCAGTGACAAAGAAGCCATTCAGCAGGCCTGTGATGAGCTGACGGAGAAAACGTGCGTCAGACTTATACCCAAAGACCCCCAGGAGGACTACTTTTACTTCAGAGCGCTGGGCAGGTGTGTCTCCTAGTTTTCTGATCTGCTACAAATAAAAATAACATTCTCTGTCACGAAATGTACTCACTGTTCGAAGTTATTTTATATTCATAGAGCGCCTTCACTCAAGGCGTTCAATGTAAATAAACCGTGACAAAATATAATAATTCATATGGTAGGGGCGGGCAAAATTTTAGAAAAGAGTGACCGCGAGGGTACTTAGGGGTCACGGAAGGGTAGGGGATTAGTCTTAGGGGATTTTTTGTTGAAATTGTAAAGGTACGAAATTTTGTAAATGTGCAGATGTCTCCGTTACAAATTAGTGGAGCAAATCGCCCGACATAGTATTTTCATCCAGTTAATAAAATTGAGAACATGGCCCGAAATGTTCTAATCTACAATGAGATTTTATCATAATCTAACTAAATCTTGACTTAAAGCTTTCGTGACTGCAGGAATTCATATTATTTCGATCTTTCGGTAAAGCCACGTATACACTACTATTAGATCTTGTCAACAAACTTTGAGACAAGAAGACTCATTTGATCGAGTCCTCACTTTTCTGAAGAGATGCCACGACACTAAGGTAATACCGATCGCCTTTATAATCACATCTGCTCCTGTCACTTATCCTAATGCTAAACGGATCTTGTTCAGGGCCAGCCTAGCCCTGATCTCAGAGAGAATAAGACTGCTCCGATTTGAACTAGACAATTTAGACAAGACCGTCTTGCAATCACACTTAACATTGACAGAAAAAAATTCTACATCTGATTGGGACCATGTAGATAACATGACAGCCTCTTCAGCCGCCTCAATGTCAGTTAAATGCAAAGATAACCTCATTTCCCAGTTCAACCTCCTCTCCAAGAAGAAGCCAGATCCAGACAAAAAGTTAGATGGTGACAAGATTGTTATCAATCAGAGCAACAGCCCAATTTCCGACAGCCTAAAATCTGTTCTGGCTAAAGGGTTCAATTTCGCAGTCACCCCTAAACACATCCCAGTTCATGATATCATTGCCCAGGTCGACGTAGCCCTTAACGGGTTGGGACACGTTCCTGCAGACGTAGCAAGATCATAAATCGCTGCAATCCTAAAAAATGCTGAGACACCTATTAGCAACATCAACAAGGATGAGCGCCTTTAACTCTCTCAACTAAAAAAAGAGAGATGATATAGTCATCCTCTCAGCCGACAAGGGCAATGCCACTGTCATTGTGGACAAAACCACATACAATAACAAAAATCAGGACCTACTTAATAATGGCAGCTATACCAAATTAGTAGAGATCCTACCAACCGCCTGGTAACGAAAACCAACATCATCATCACTGATTCGACGTCTTTAATCGAACCAACCACACGGCTTTCCTTGAAACCCTCTGCTGCTAGACCACCCAGATTTTATGGATTACCAAAAATCCATAAAGAAGGTACACCACTCCATCCTACTGTCTCCACCATTGACTTACCCACCTACAAACTGGCACGATTTCTGTCTGAGAACTTGCAGACACAAAATCCAGGTACGGTTCAACACAGTACATAAAATTCGTAATTGTATCCCATCTCGATTTAAAGCTTTCGTGACTGCAGGGATTCATCTTCTTGGTTCTTTCGGTAAAGTCACGTAGAAGGAAGTAATAAAATAATAAAAATAAAACATAATAAAATAATTCTCACGACGTTACGGCCACAACGCAAGCAGCCGTCCTCAGGTGAAAACCAGGTCTGTCGAGGCGACAGTGTCTGAATGAAACAGCACCATGCTTGGAGCATATATTTAAGCTGGGTTGGAAGGGGGGGAAAGGGCGCCTTGACAAAAAAAATTGCATATCAAGAGGAATTTAGCATATTTATGGGAAATGCAGGTATGTGATTAGTACTACTTATGCCCGTGCATTATGCAGGATTAGCAGCATCTTCCAACCCAGCTTAAATATATGCTCCAAGCATGGTGCTGTTTCATTCAGACGCTGTCGCCTCGACAGACCTGGTTTTCACCTGAGGACGGCTGCTTGCGTTGTGGCCGAAACGTCGTGAGAATTATTTTATTATGCTTTATTTTTATTATTTTATTACTTCCCTTCTACGTGATTTTACCAAAAGAACCAAGAAGATGTTTCCCATCTGTGATGTATATGATCCCTGACATGCAATATCCCGGTGTCTACAAACTAAGCAGTGTCTGTGGCAGCAGTTACATTGGGGAAACTAAGTGACATGTCTCAGACCGGGTTTGTGAACATAAGGCAGATCTGAAACACGGTAGGACCAATACCTCAGCTGTGGCTGACTATTATTTTAACGCGGTGGGCACACATGAAATTGATTTTGCCAAGACAAAGGTACTCTGCAAACCCACTGGCTATCAGCAAAGATTCGTTCATGAAGCCATCCAGATATTTTAACACAGACACAATTTCAACCGAGAAGATGGGTACAAACTGAAGAATAATCACTGGATGGACGTTATTAACCAGTTTAGGTCATAACTGGCTGTGATGTTCCTATCCTACTTACCTATGTTAGCAGTTATTTTCGAAAATCTGAGTTACATTCACTAACAGAGCCAACCTTTAGGTGTGTTAGTAAATGGCGGCTTGCCACTACATCGTCCGGGTCCTCGCCGAGCTTACATTTACAAGAATATTTATCTCTCCTACTCGCTCCTCAAATTTTTTCTCTCCTACTCGCTCCTATATTGGCATTAGCTGCCCCTCCCATCTCTAAACCTTTATAAACAGCCTGTCTCAGCCGATTTCCCCCTCTTTTTCACCTGCAGACGATTGCTTGTGTTGCAAGAGAAACGTCGTGATTTTGATTTTATTATTTTTTCTGTCTAAGAATCTAACTATACAACTACAACTTAATGTTATACAGTGCCATTCACACAATGCCTCAATGCTTTACATTAAATAATCCGACCGTTAGCAAGCCTTGAACAAGTAAAACTGGATAAAACCCTAACATTAAACTGTATAAAACTTGTAAGAAATAAAACCTGATTTAAAAAAACCTTAACAAATAAAAACAAATAAAACTCTAAACGAATAAAACTGTAAAACGAAGCCCTTAAATATAACTAAACAATAAATACAATGTTAAAGGGATGTAACTAATGCCTTAATTTTCACCCAAATGTTTGAAATAATCCTCTGTGAGTTGTTAAGAACAGTTAAATTTGTAGTGCCACTTGTGATGATAATTTGCATCTCTTGGATGAAATAAAATAGCACAAATGAGAAACAAATGCAGACAATGTAACCACAACATTCAATTAGACATTTTACTATCATACAGTAACTGTCTCGGCCTCGCTGTGCGCTGCGTTGCACCACTATCCGAGTAGTTAACCTCACATTCAATAAACCTTCAGAGCCAGGGTGAACATCCGACTCCAATGTATTTCATGAATAGAACGAGGTAAAACTGATGGAAAAACACAGCACAAAATACAGCATCTGTTAATGCTTGCAATATCGATACAATGAATGAACACTGCAGCATAATAACATTGTCTTAGATAACATGAAACTCCACAATAGGTCCTGGATGGACCAGGCACCTACATTAGCACTGAATAGCTATACAAAAGAATAAGCTACTGTGTTCAATAAGGTCACTTCGTGTAATCACCATACTGCAGCCTAAATGTACAGCGCTGCACATAACACTGAACTGTGGATGAGATACTTCTTCATCCTTGCTGTCAAGATTGCATTAAAGTTACATGGGTACAAGTCTGGCTCGACTTATCCAATTACAAGTAACATTCCCAATAATGCAAGTGGCAGGCTTCGTTGTTAACTAGACCTCATATTTATCATAACAATTTAACAGCATTATAAAGGTATTTTTAGCATTATAACGGCAATCCTAATATTATAACAGCATTCCCAGTAATATAAGAACATAAACAAACTTACAGACAATGCTTCTTAAAGTCCCACAATGAACATATGCACCTGTCTTCACTGAGACGATATTTGTGCCTCCATGTTGTACTCTGTATAATGGCTGACACCCTGCCTCATGGCTTAGAGAATCATAAATCGTAACTTCCTGGTCACGTGACCAAAGTCAACACCATATCAGGAAATTCCTGTATACGCAGGATCAAGAATACCTGTATTTCATTGGGGCTTTATGATTGTTGTTGGACCTCCAGCAACAAAAGTAACACATCGGAAGGCAGCACGTTTGTTTTGCTGCCTCTGTGAAGAGAGGAGAACCCTGGCAGCAGCATTAGTTGTATGACAAAAACACACACGTGCTGTCCAGGAGTCTTCAGTGCTGCAGCTTTGTCTACTCAATCTAGGCTGCATGAAGTCAAGTGAAGGCCGCTACTGCGTGCTCACTTTAGGCTCAGATGACATGGTGGAGATCTTTTACAGGCCACAGAGATGGCTCTCTGTGCAAAATGACAACGTCTTTGGTTAAATTTACAGATCATGTCACATGTTTCACAAGAGTAGGCCTTCGTGAGTCTGTATCAGCCCTCAGCTGAAATTTAACAAGGAAGGGGAATCATGGAATCCGTAATGGTTCGAACATGCTTTTGAGTTATTTTTTTTATGAATAGATACTACCTGCTATTATATGGCTCACAAACATGGGCATGTGTGACATGATCGCATTGGCCAAAAAGGTTTTTCTATTTATCGCTGGATTTAATCGCCAAGTTTTGGGAAAGCCTTTGATCAATTTTCTCGGTTTTCTCCAATAACATTTACCTTTCATTTGATGATCTCCCTCAAACCCCTTGCCCTGCTTCAGACAGACAGACAGATGGACAGTTATAATGCATTCATGATTTTAAACTTAGTTGGAAAGTGTACAAAATAACACGTATCTAAAACACACACATAAAACTGTCCCCACATTGTTATTGCATTTGAAAATTAGCTCTCACTTTGTTAAAATCTATTACGTTAAATTATCCTTGTCACTGGTGCAAAAGTGCAGTGCACTAGACATTTGGCCTCTGTAAAACGTGTCCGGTGTTTTGAGGTGCCGGTGAGGGATGTTGCTGTGAAACACGCGGTTTCCCATCAGGGACTCCTCCTCACTGCTGGGTGCCAGGGCAGGAAAAGCATCTCGGTCCATCGCCCTGGAGCTCAGCGAGGTTGAGAAGGGCGCGGTGCTTCATGAGCTCATGCACGTGTTCGGGTTCCATCGTGACCAGCAGAGTGAGTAACTTTACAAGCGGGACACATGCCCTTATGATGACGACATAGTTAAAATTAAAAATAATTATGCACAATATTTTACGGACATGAAAGTCTGCGACTGCTGCGCGGATTCAAGATCAGTGTCGCTCAAAAGCCAAGGCGAAAGAGGCTGGGCCTTCAAGTGTCCCTTAAAAGTCGGTGTGGATTGAACACTGCGATTGTGCAGTGGAATGGCTTTCCAGACGGCAGGGGCTGCCATGGAGAAACAATGACCGGCAGTGATGGTCCTGGTCCATGGTGTTGAGAGGAGGTTGTGAGTCGTGCTGCGGAGAGTTCTACCATGAGCTGTAGTGCAGGGTGACAGGGGTGAATTAACAGTGGTTTAACTCAATAGTCCAGCAAGTAGCGTGCCTTGCGCGATGGTGTAACTCAATTTGAAACAGTGTTTTACATATGTCTTATATTTAATTTCATAATATGTTTCAAAAAGTGAGTGCAAACAATCAATAAAAACTTGAAACGTTATTCTTCATGTTGGATCACTATTGATAATGTGAACAGCGTTCAGGTCTACGGTTCCAAGAGGAAGTGCTGGCAAACAATGATCGTTGCTTCTGAACCCGGAGCTGACACTGATGGATGGAACAAGGCCTGTGTGTCATGCCAGGCATTGCCATCAGTGGGGAGCGATAGTATAGCGGTTTGCACCCGCTGCGCGATGAACCCAATGACCTGAGTTTGATTTCTGCTCACGGCCAATACCAGTGAAGTCAACGAAGTGGCTTATTATGTGTACATTTATAGCAACCAAATATGCAGGGGAACCTAACTGTGGCAGACGGGTCACTTCCTCCGCAAGCTCTTGGGGGTCTGTGTTGCTATGGGAGAGGACAAGCAAACCATTGTATCTCACTGGCAGGAGATTATCATGATCCCGAGCCCAGAATTACCATGGGATTCTTGGAATTACATTTTTAAAAAGGAACGCACTCATCAATGATAATGTTGTCATTCCCTCGCACATTCTATTAGCATGGTTTGCTACGTATGGTGTGAAAGAATTTCAACATGCATACATACACAGAAGCAGCATCATCGTGCATGATACCGAATTGTTTAGGCTTCACTTTATGTGATACTGAGCATGCTTTTTGGTTGTCTAGATGGAAGCCATGACTGGGTCAAGCACCGAGATGGTAAAGTCTACATTCTCTACGATGTCTGCTCTGGTTTTGGTGAGTGCATCACACACAGCCGGCAGCCGTAGCTTCATATTTACGCTTTAGGGCTCTTTATAAAATAGAGATTATTATTATACTGGTAGGAACGAAGTGGACCAGCCTACAATAGATTATTTCGTCTGTCCGTCCGTCCCTCCGTCCGACTGTCCGTCCGTCCATGTAGCAACATCGCCCCCTACTGCAAACACTTGGCATGACCCTACAAAAACCTTTAGACTCAGTGACGCTTTCCTGGCTAAACAAGTGTAACATTCCCTTATAATTCCCTCAGATAGCTTTTAATTAAAACATTTAAATTAATGAGGCTTTCCTGGCTAAACACGTGTAACATTCCCTTATAATTACCTGAGATAGCTTTTAATTAAAACTTTTAAATTAAATAAAAAAAACTCACAGCGCCCTAAAGCCTACAGCTAGGCCTAAAGCCTAGAACTAGGCCTAAAGCCTAGAACTAGGCCTCACAGTCTCCCTTCGTATCATACCCCCGCGTGTGTGAAAGGGAGTTAATGTTTAACAATGTTACATTCCCTCATGTTTTAAAATAGAAACATTTACATTTAAAGCTTTTACATTAATAATTAACACATTTACATTATACATTAATAATTAAAACATTTAAATTAAAAATTAACTCACAGCGACCTAAAGCCTACAGCTAGGCCTAAAGCCTACAACTAGGCCTCAAAGTCTCCCTTCGTATCGTCCGATTAGGTGTAGCAACATCGCCCCCTACTGCAAACACTTGGCAGGACCCTACAAAAACCTTTAGACTCAGTGGGGCTTTCCTGGCTAAACAAGTGTAATAATACATTATGTTTATATTCTTTGGTTATTCGTTCCTACCAGCCCACCCCGCAGGGTCCTGTTTATTGCTTTAGCGAGAGCCCCAATCTGGAGCTACTTCAGCTGGGACTGCTGACTCTACACAGGCCCTCGGCACATCACTCACTCATGGTTTGCCACATGGAGCCCTCTCGGTTTATTTTTAGCGCACGAATAATGCCACTTTTTTAAAGGAAATAGATGAAGCACCCAATTGAATGTGTTCTTCAGCCATTTCTAAGATTTCATGGTTTTCATTGAAATTCATGATTTCCATGACCACCGTGACCTCTGTGACAAAATTTTAATCACCATAGTCCTTATCAACCAACTTATCGCCATCATCCATCATCATTCATCATCATTCATCATCCATACTCATGATAACGTAGGTTCTAAGAGTTGCACGTGTATACATGTACTTACTTAATACATATCATCCATCTTATCCATCTCCATCCTCACCAACATCTCATCATCTCAATCGAGCCCGCACCTCGTCCCCCGCTCCACATCGCCACCAGAAGGGAAGGAAATGTTGTCCCCTAGTTCCCCGAATCAAACGCCCGGGATACGCTTTGTAACACAAGGATTACAAGGATTAGTGTCATTCTAACTTGGGGATACTATAATCATATGATTGTAGTTAATTATATTATGAATACGTATATTTAGATCATATGAGGATAATTTGATTCTCATGAGGATCATTTTTGAATGAGGAAAATATTATTATAATATAAGCACAGTGTGATTCTAATGTGAGGACATGCTTCTCTCTTTTAGACACCAATGACAAGGAGAACATCCAGCATGCAGTCAATGAGTTTGCAGAGAAAACCTGTGTTCGGCTCATCCGGAAAGACAACCAGGAGGACTACATCAACTTCCAGGCGCTGGACGGGTGAGCAGCAGTGAGCGGCGTGGAGAGAGAGAATGGGGTGTTAGAGAGAGAGCAGAGTGTAGAAAGTGAGTGGGGCATAGATGGTGAGCGGTGCGTCAAGGGTACATAGAGCTGATAGAGAGTGGGGTATAGAGAGAGAGTGGGACGTAAAGGGTGAGTGTGGCGTAGAGAGAAATTGAGGTGTAGAGTGAGCGTTGTGTGGACAGAGAGAAGAGAGATTTATCGATTCAGATCTCTGCAGGGCAGGGCAACCCTTCGTGTTAGAAACCCACTGAAGGGGATATCACAGAACTACCTCTGAGATCCCCTAAAGTGACCAATGATCCAGAGTGGAAGGCAGCACTTTTTCACCTGCTCTGCATAGGAGACTTATGTTTGCTCTATGACAGTGAACCAAATGTTTTAAATCTCAGAGCTAGAAATTAGCCAAATTAAGTACAAAATTGCATTTAATGTAGTGAGATTGTTTTGTGTGAATTCATTGTTCACCAAACTGAGACCATCAATTCATTACACTTGAGAATGTAGTTTAATCACAGGCAGCTGCCTCGAATCAAACCCAGGATCTAAGCAGTGCCCCTCAGCTTTTTGAGGTTTCACTTGCAAGCAAAATGAACTCTTGCCTGGCTCGAAAAGGGCTGATTTACTGCATTTGAATGTATTATTTGTTCGTGGCATTTTTGTCTTCTGTTGAGAGGAACACACATTGGTAATGGCAAATTCAAGCTTAGAAAGCCAAGTAATAGTATTTCTTGTGGAGTGGATCTTACTGAGACCCTTACAGCATGCAGACGTAGAAATTTAACCCCTTCTCTGAACCAAGATTATCACACAATACAGTCTTTTTTTTACTTTGAAGGTCATCTTTCGTATGACATTTAAAAGCAACTGAGATATAATTTTAACTGTATGTTCAGTTTGGTATTCCATTTGATGGCATCGATAGTTGCTTAACATATAGCGTGTGTGCATCCTGTGTAATTGTCTAATGGGCAGTGCTCGGTTATGTGATGAACAGAATGCACATTGATAATTTGGCGACTCATTCATATTCCATTTATGAACAAAATAGCTGCACTAGTGTGCGTTTTTCAAACACAGCCAATTGCCTTCTACGCAGGCTTACGCCAGGTACTTCCTGCGTGGGGTGTTCAGGTAGTGACTTGCAAGCCATTCAGCTTTCATGCCACTCGCCACCAATAGCTAACATTCTTTTTGACTATCAGCAGTGGCTCCGCATAATGCAAGGTAATCATGACGTGAAGGTCATGGGGGTGATCGTGAAATTCCATGGGAATTTTCGCCACCAGGAGCTGGTCCTTCCTGGGCAAGAAAGGAGGGGCCCAGTCTTTGTCCCTGGAGCCCAGGAAGGTGACCAAGGGCATCGTTCTGCACGAGCTCATGCACACGCTCGGCTTCCACCACGAGCACTGTCGCAGTGACCGTGACCAGCACATAAAGGTCCACGAGGACAACGTCAAGGAAGGTGAGTGGTGCCACTAGAGTGAGTAAAGCATCCATGGGTAGGCATGCTATTCATTACTAGAAACGGCTTGTATTGCACAAAGAGCACATTAATTCGATGTCCAGTGTGTAGTTTACTTTAACGAGGAAGTGTCAACACAGCAGGTGCAAGAAACTGCCACGCAATCTTCCCATTGCTCGTGTTGCTTCCTCCAGTGCAGTTTTAGTAACGAACGTACAGATGGGCACGCGAACGATCGTTTTTGTTTCTACGACGGTCCGCAATGACTGTGTCGCGACCCGTGGTGGTGCGTGTGCTGCCACGTATGGGGAGCAGTGGTGTAACGGTTAGCGCGTTGCACTATGAATCCGGCGACCCGAATTGAATTCTCGCTCACGGCCAACACTAGTGACGATTATCTGAACCGGTCCTGGGCCTCCCCTAGGTTGACTCAGCCTCAAATGAGTACCTGGTGTGGTGTTTAAACATCGCCACTAGGGAGATAAAGGCAGCCGAGCGTGGTGCTGGCCACCCACCTTCCTCGTGTGCTGTGAGAGCCTCCATAGGTGCTCACTAACAGCACTTGCCCCAACATTCTGTTAAGGCTATACGGGAGATCTTTGTCTTTTGTCACATGCGGCCGGGCAGCACCGCACTCACGGCGCTCACTCCACACGCCGATGCAAGGGTTCACGTGCTGCTCACGGGTTGGCTCGTTAAAACAAGTACCACTTTATGGGATGTCCACAGTGGTCATCCTATAGAAGCACTGGTCTCCACCATAGGTTTGTGGAATACCACCACACTCCCAGAGCCACCAGTGGAGATAAGTTCCACTCTACACGCATTTGAGCTGGAGAAACTTCAGCTGGAGTTTGTTTTAATCCAATTATGTTATTCACCGGAAAGGTGGTCTACCTGTAGAGTGAGTGTACTCCACTCAGAAGGTTATGAGTTCAAATGCCGGTGATGGGGTTGATTCAGCCCATTATTTCTCTCAGGTAAATGCAATGAGTACCACCTTGTGGAGAAGTCAACAGTGGTCGTCTTATAAATGGACCTGCCCCCACCATAGCAATGTGGAATTTTCAACACTGCCTCGAGGCTCTACATGGAAGATGAGTACTGCCTTCATGCTCATTTGAGCAGGAAATTATTTTGAGTTTCTCATCCTTGCTCCCATATAAATAAACAGTGCTGGGCTAAAACAGTCACAGCACAGCCTCGTATAAATACTGGAATTATCACTATTAATCCAATATACAGCTCTTGCTAGAGTTTATAATGTCACATTACACAATATAGCACTGATGCTAACCCTCAGTACGTACCGCTGGGTAAAACATTGCACTGGAGGGCTGATATTGGAACCACATTTTCCATGCAACTGGTGCTGTTTGTGCATTGAAGTTACTTGAATAAGAAGAACATCACTGTTACACTTTATAACGATCCCTTTTCAAGATAAATAAGGGGTATTTTAACGCCATGCCTTCTCACAAATAATTGTGCAAAATATTACGTTAAATTTAACATCATAAACAAATACACATCGAGTCGGGAAGAGCAATGGTGTAGGTTACCCAAGTTAGTATTCCCGGCCATAGTTAACACCAGTGTACGACGTTACTGACGAACGTATTGTTTTTTTTTTGGGGGGCACCCTCTTTCACCATACTGCAATCCCCCAGCGTGAAGTACGGTCAAACAACCTCCACGACTGACATGACGTCGTGGGGAAGCCTTTATCCTGCTGTGGATTGACTTAGGGCCTTTTATTATTTTATTTAAGCACTGAGCAATATTACCGTCCATTTACTCCAACAGCTCACAGCACTCGAAAGAAGTCAAGCCACTTGTTGCACACGTTCCACCTACCCAAACGCTACCCCAACAATCTAACTGTGTGCGCTCTTGGTAGAACCGGTAGCAATTTCCACACCTCCGATTCGCACGGTTGGCTATGTACGGTGCGAAAGAAGTTCAACCTACATACATACAACATGATGAAAGGTGTGTTTTGTAGATGCAAGCATAAAACCAATGTTGTCGGTTAATAAGAGCCACGTGTGCCTGCTACCTGCAGATGAGCTTGGGCAGTTCAAACGGCTGGAATGCAGTGGCTGTAGAGAATATCTGCCCTACGACTACCTCTCGATCATGCACTACGGCAGGTGGATCTCACACAGGCTGTGGCCTTCACTAGCATGAATGCAGTAAAACTTCTCAAAACCGGATTAATTTGGGGAAGGGAGCCTTTCTGGTTATAGAGGGATGTCTGGAATACTGCAAATACAGTAAAATTCAGACTAACTGAACCCCAGCTAGATGAACCCAGGCTAGCAGTTCGGGGTGTGTGAGGGTCTGATGGGCGAGGAGGGTGGACACCACCCCAATAAACTTTCATCTCATATACTTAAATAACAAAAAACAAGCATGAAAAGCAGGAATCAAGAATACCATGACATAACAATTTTACGTAAAGCCTATTTCTCCCAGAAGGCACATGAACACTCCCACCTGCTGTGCTACGAGACCACACAGAAGGGCAGTAACACAACTTCCTTGGAATTTCAATCCTTTGGGCGTCCAGAAGTTTACCAGGAAGTCTGATGGCGTTCTCCCCTGTGAATAGGGGAAGCCATCTTGAAATCCTCCAACACGGCCTGATGATGCTCGTAATAGTCACCACCTCATCCACATCTTTTTCAGCCTCTCCTTGGCCTGGCTATCTGGATTTACATTTAGCTGGACCAACGCTCTTGATTTTTTGTGTTCCACATTTCTGCTTATTACTGTTTACATCTCTTTGGTGCAGCCTCAACAAACGTCAAGGATTGGTACATAACAACACCACGCAATACAGTCATCGCAACACGTAATTCTGTAAACGCAAAACAGTAGTTTTTTCATTTATATTTTTCCATAGTGTTGTAAATTAGACTAAATGTATGAAGAAATGTATTTTAATTATTTTTAAGTGTTGTCCATGCTAGGTATGTATTAGGGGGGGGGGTGTGTCGTTAGCAATGAATTACGCTGTATTCACAACTGGCCAGAGTTTTTGGTTACCCGGACCAGGGCTCACTCTTCATAGTGCGGCTCACCGAGAGATTTTACTGTAATTCCATAATTGAGAAAATACAACATTTTTATTACATTCTTCGGAAATTAATTTATACTTAATAACAAATAACTAAATATTTTAAATATTTGATGTTTATCATTTAATAGCAAACAAAAATACAGTCATACCCCCCACTTACACCCTCCCGTTTTCCGAAACTTTCTTCTAATTTAATAATTTCAATAAAAATTCTGGTTTTCAGGAATGCATCCTGGGTGTAAATCGGAGTATGTCTGTACGAAAGTGTACAGTTTATTCCGAGTTACCATCGCCTGTGAAGCTTAAGGTGGATAGTTAAGACTCAGTGCCGCTCCTATAAACAACACTTTAGACATGAAACTCTCTCGTGCAGGGAGCAATGTAGGGTCTGTTTGGTGGTTGAGATGAATAATACATCGGTGTCCCCGGCTACATGGGAATAAATGAGTTGCAAATGCAAACTCGGCAGGCTCGTGTTTGGCACTGATGTACGCTTGGCTTACAACCTGTAAACTTCACCTCAATTGGTCGTCATCTGTGCTAAGGAAGGAATTGATTACAGATGTGTTAAGTAACCGGTAAATGGTTTAGTGTGGTAACCAGTCACTCAAGTCCAGTGTGTAACGCGCTGATCTCCTCTCTAGGTATGCCTCGTCCTCGGACTACATGAGTGAGACGATCACCCCCACGACAACAGCTAGAGCTCCCATCGGCCAGAGGAGCGGCCTCAGCCCCCTGGACGTGCTCAGGGTGCAGCGCAAGTACCAACCGGTTCGTCACCGACACCTTGATGTTTAATGAGCTCACAGCACTAATTTTCCATGAACATAGCACGGTGTTAGAATCTGAGCCATGCAACACGTGTTGCCATTTAGTTGCCATAATTGCTTTGTTCTTACAAATGTCTGTGGGAACTTGTTTGTGTTTTGTTTGTTGTCCTTCCCCCGCATCTCCTGTTAGCACAGTTGGCGACGTACGGTACGAAATATTTTATACCCTACGTGACTTTACCGAAAGAACCAGAGTATGGATTCCTGCAGTCACGAAAGCTTCAAATCAAGATGCATACATTTGTTAACAGTGGGACATGTTGCACTGCTTAAAAATGTTCTTCTGCAGGCATATTTGGTATCTTTTTTTTATTGTAAAATTCAGTTTTACAAAAGCACTCCACCTTGCTCGCGTTCGCTCGTTCATTTAATCATGTTCTCGATTCACCTTAATTAACTACCCTATATATAGATATACATGAAAAAAATCTGCTGTGTTTTCCACGTGTGTCCCTTTCAACAGTTATTCCCATTGGTTTAGCAAGCTCTTTATTCATGGCGTTTGTTTTGCTCATTCATCTTGAGCCCAACGTTGCAGCCCTCCTTGTTAAGTTATTTGAAATTGTCCATTGGTTGTTACATAAGGACTACATTGTCAGTAAATCTGACATGATTAATCCTTTCTCCGTTTATGTTTATGCACTTTTTTTCAATTACATTTTTGGAAAATGTACTATCATGTTTTTGCGAATATCCTTGGTAAGAGCATATCTTCATGTCTGACTCCTGCTTTGTATTTTACATGTTCATTAACTGTTATGTTTGTTCATGACTGTTATTTTGTTAAGAACTCCCAGGGTTTGATCTTCCCCAAGAAACAGTGGTCAGCCCTAAGTGGCTGCAGAACAGTGTATGGCAGATGCGGTCCCCTTCATCGATGCAAATTGATGCATAATTTACAGATTTTTTTAAATCGATATTTATTTTAAAGTCAACTATTCAGCCTTCTCTATGAAGTAAAAAATCATTTCCACTTTTTTAAATGAAATGTTATTCATTATTATCATGACTTTCATCCATCTTTCCTTTTTTTCAAGTTCACGTCTATATTTTTCCATTGCCGATTTAATAAAATACATTGTAATGTTGTGAATAGCCTTGAGGATAACATATCTCTCCGCCTGCCTCTTTTTCAGATTTTTAAGTTTTTACTCTCTGCATGAAATCTCAATATAGTGGTTCCTTCCATTTAAATAGTTTTGATAATCACACTCTGTAAGTTGTTAATGCACGTGACTATTTCCTTTCAGATCCTGGCTGGTGTGTCGGAGGACAAAGCCTTGAAGGTCGCTCTTGCTAAGGTATGGAGGTGAAGAGGTGTGAATCAGTGCGAGCAATGGGAGTGTATATGGGTGTTACTTTCTTCATTTTTCATAATTCACCCTTTATACGAAAATCAACAAAGTGTACACTTCTAACATTGCCCAACAGAAGTAGAAACCTTACATGTGACTCATTGGTTCCTCCCTAAACGTCATACTTGTGTTTTCAATAGATAATCATAAACGGACAGTCCAGAGCAGTTTCAGTATTTAAATATCATTTGTATGTAAAGGTAATGGGCGCTGCAGTGGTGAGATGTCAACTACCTCGCCTAGTACACCGGAGGTCATGGGTTTGATACCGACTCTGACGCCTGTATATTTGGAGTATGCATGTTCTCTCCGTGGTTATGTGGATTTTTCTCCAGGTCCTCCGGTTTTTCCCTCCATATTTAGAAGCATGCGTTTAGAGTATCTGGCTGCTATACCGTTCCACGTGGTAAGCCACTTTGTTGAGCTATCATTTGCGGCCAGGCTACGTCTGAACAAAACCTGTATAGCTCAAGAGGCGATACCTGGTAAAATACAAAATAGTTTAGTGTATAGTTTTATTTAATAGTTTTCAAATCTGTCTGTGCATTTTCATTAAAATTGTACCTTGAACTGGCATGACATCACTACTCAAGTGTTGTATTTTTTTTCACAACTGCACATTGCTTGAAAAGCTATGAGTTCGCATTAATTGTTAAATCTATTCATGTGTAGAGGAGTAGAGGAGAGTGGTGGCGTCGCGTGCGCTGTCCGGTGCGGTGACATCACGGGACATGGGGTCGCACGTGCTGGGCAGTGCACGTGATGTCACGCCTCAGAGGGTATTTAAGGGAGACCCCGTGACGTAAGCGGGGTCACTATAGGAACGGGGATAGTAAACAGGGTGAAGAGGGAACCAGGGATAGTGAGAGGGATCAAATAGGGAGTCTGGGGAGAAGCCAGTGGTAGCCGAAGAGGTGCTTCTCTCTCCGGTCGGTGGAGTCGGCAGACTCCACGATCCGACACGAGAGAGAGACCGGAGCTAGCCGGCAGGGACCCAGACTCAGAGTAGGACCCCTAGCCCCTGGGAGTTGTGTACCCTGTGTAGTATTGACCAAGAGTAATAAACCCTGGCGGAAGCCCCTAACTTACCTCCGTCTCCGAGTACGTCCGTCGGAACTTCTCTACAACTGGTGTCAGAGTGTCTGCACTGCTGCTACAATGTTTACATCGGGAGCGGAGCGCAAGAACCCAGCGACGGGACGATCGGAGGATGAAGACAGCGGGGAGGAGGCTTCGGCAGTGACCCCGGAGTCCGGGGCTCCGGTGACAGGCCCCGAGAAGACGACGGGCGGGGGTGCCAGCTCGCCGCCACCACCGCTGGAGACGGGGAGCACCCCTGCAGACCTGCTGAGGCAGCTCCTGCAGGCGATTGCGCAGCTCTGCGCCTGTCTCGACATCGCGGAGGCGAAGTTGGGTCCTCCCGGTCCGCACTCGGGATGGGAGCAACTGTCAACTGCCGGGACGCCGCGAGAGGCGGCCGCCATCTTCGCCGCGACGCCCCAGCTGGCTATTTTGCCTGCGACGTCGCCAGCGGCGGCCATGTTGGTTGGGGCGCCTCAGGCGGCCGCCATTTTAACTGCGACGCTGCAGGTGGCGGCCATTGTTCATGCGACGCCGCACGTCGGCGCCATGGCTGCCATGGCAACTGCGACGCCGTTGTCCACCGTGGGTGCCGCCGCGACTTCGCGCCACACCGCGCGCGCGGGGTCTGCCAGCGGCGATGCCACAGCTCCGCACCATGCTGCGCCCGCCGGGGGAGCCCCAGGTACGTCCGGGGCTCCACACCTCGCCGCACCACGGGAGTTGCCGAGGGTGCCGCCGTGGTTCCGGCCATCGCCGCGCTGGCGGGGTACGCTGCGGGTGTCGCCGTGGCCCCGTGCATCGCTGCCGCGGCTCCTCACGATGCCGCGCCGCGGAAGTTGCCGCGGTTCCGAGCATCGCCGTGCCTGCGGGGTTTGGCGCGCCCGCCACCGCGGCTGCTATGGTTGCCGCGGCCGCGGGGTGGGCCGAGGGTCACGCCGGGGCACCGCACCTCGCTGTGCATGCGGGTTTTGCCGCCGGCGACGCCGCACCAGGCTGCTATTTTGCCGCGATCGCGGTGGGGGCCGCCGGCGACGACGCGGCCCCGCACCTCGCGGTGCCTGGGCGTTGCCATGCCGACGCCGCGGCTCTGCATCTTGCCGCGGCATGGGCAGCAGGAGCCGCCGCTCGGGCCGGCGCGCGCCTGGCAGGAGCTGCGTTGGGCTGCTGGGCTGCTGCGGCTCTCCCGGGGCCTGTCACTAGCTGGCACGGTGCCTGCCCTGGCGATTCGTGCCACATGGGGAGGCGTGCGCTCTGTTGATGGCCTGTGGAAACGCTGCCGTCGGCCTCCAGCCCTCATCGCTCAATTGTGTTATGTTGGCGTGTTTTGTCTAAGACTGCCCAATTGTCCGTTTTGGTGTGTTTTGTCTGGGCTGCTCAATTGTTCAATTGTTGTTTGTTGGTGTGTGTTGTCTGGGCCATCGGGATTCCGCCTTTGTATTGATGGCAGCGCGTGATGAGAGTTTCAAAGTTTTGAAATTTGATTGATTGTTGTCATGCTGCCTGGATGTTGTCGGTTGGTTGTGAATATGTTGGTTTGTGGTTCTGGGACTACTCTACTTTTATATTGTTTACAGCCGAGTCAGCTGAATTTTTTTCACAGGGGGGGGTGATGTAGAGGAGTAGAGGAGAGTGGTGGCGTCGCGTGCGCTGTCCGGTGCGGTGACATCACGGGACATGGGGTCGCACGTGCTGGGCAGTGCACGTGATGTCACGCCTCAGAGGGTATTTAAGGGAGACCCCGTGACGTAAGCGGGGTCACTATAGGAACGGGGATAGTAAACAGGGTGAAGAGGGAACCAGGGATAGTGAGAGGGATCAAATAGGGAGTCTGGGGAGAAGCCAGTGGTAGCCGAAGAGGTGCTTCTCTCTCCGGTCGGTGGAGTCGGCAGACTCCACGATCCGACACGAGAGAGAGACCGGAGCTAGCCGGCAGGGACCCAGACTCAGAGTAGGACCCCTAGCCCCTGGGAGTTGTGTACCCTGTGTAGTATTGACCAAGAGTAATAAACCCTGGCGGAAGCCCCTAACTTACCTCCGTCTCCGAGTACGTCCGTCGGAACTTCTCTACACATGCACAAAGACCAGTGAGTGTTAAGGATGAAGCTGAAATACGGTTTCAACTGTCATTAGATTTAAGAAACAAATTCATACATATTAAAGGAGCAAATATTAACCATCTCATATTTTTCGACTTTATCGTCATTGCAACAGCCAATTTTGGAATGATTTACGGGACACGTTATAAGAACTTAATCAAGAAGACTGAAACGTTGCGTATGAGATAGATATGGGCAAAACAAAGTTCATGGACAAGTTCACTTAACAATCAGACATTGAATAGATAATGTATGCAAGTTAGAGATGTCAAACCGACTGTTTAAATAATTAAAAAAGCAAGTGGGCTTGGGCAGCAAGCACCATTCGAATGGTTGATGGTCGTAGTTGAGACAAACAACAAAGTGGCAGCCAGAGGATGGAACATGGCCAAGAGGAGGACGTCCATTGTTAAGATGGAGGAATTCGTGTGAAAAAGCTAGATGGATTTCTGCATCGCAAAATCATGAGAGATGGTGGTGGCTTGGGGTGGTCTCCATCCAGCATTGCATCATGATGAAAATACCATTGTTACAATGACAATTTCTCCCTTTATCTGAGCCACATGCTAGCTTTAAACGAAAATCTTATTTTTCTTCTTTTGGCTGATGTTCTTGTAGAACAACAACTATAATTTACCATTGAGGTGGTTGAGCCAGATCATTGCGTCAGAGAAGCGGAGTAGTTTATTGCTGTGTTGATGCCTCCTTCGTGTTTGTGAATTGGGGACTGAGTCGTGATACGTTCCATGGGCAGTTCTGGGTGACAACAGTAGCACATCGGAGATGCTTTAAATTACCCTTCGTGCATCAAGTATCCGCATCAGCTGCCATGGTCAATGCAGATGCGGTTGTGACTGTGAGGAAAACAGATGAGGGTGAATGCATGCGATGTTTTCCTTCATGGCCTTAGAGTGTACATGCACCATGGTGACATCACCACCACTTAGTGGCGAATGTTGTTGTTGTTTCCCTTCAGACGGCCGCTCTTTGTGAAACCCTGCAGGAGCCTCCCCGTCCGGTGAGTGTTTCCTGAGCCCTGGTTATTCGTGCAGCAACGTGCGCCTCTCAGGCATTCACGTTGTCAGCCCCAGTTAGACAGTGCACATGGTGGTGGTGGAGCAGCCGGCGACAAGAGGCGTGGACACAACCTCAATTGGGTCCTGTTGGTGGGAACAGGGATTACCCACGCTACATTTTACTATTCGAGTCACAACATTACAACTTTCATAGAAGCTCAGGTATTACTTTTATTGTTATATACACTGAACTTATTACTTAGAGTAGTGTTGATAATATTGTGAATTGAGGTGTAAAATGAAAAATTTTGCATCAAACTAAGACCCTTACCGTAAAGAGAAGGCCCTTGCCTGTAAGATCGGCAGTTCATCAGAATTGATTCAAGCAAGCCTGACTATGCTGGTTAGACATTTTGTTGTTGAAACCGGTCCAGAGTTTGCTTGTCTTGAGGCTATGCTGCTGAAATTACACATTCCCAGAAGGCCTTTGGCGTGATGAGTTGTGTAAGAATTTTTTTTTTACGTGGAGTGATGGATATGTGAAGCAGACATGTCTGCTTATTTATGTTATTAAATATTTCGTGGTTTAACTTTGACACTCGCTATGTTGTGTTCATCATTGTGGACTAAGTTACGACATTGTTACTTATCTCTTTTTGGTAGACACAAGATCTTGCAGTACAAGCGGAGGTAAGCGCATTTGCACCACAGGGAAGGACAGAGAAGCATGACATGCAAGAGCAGGCATGCACAGCGTGCATGAGCAAACATGTGAACCAACACGCCTAAACAATCTACCCCCAAACCGACATTAGTTATTTATTATTTGTGTGTAACTTTGTGCAGACATCAGCGTATTTCTTCCCATGTTGTGAGGGTGTACGTAGATTGCAGAGCATTAATTGCCCAGTTATGTCTGCACAGCTCTTTGAGAACTCATCTAGCATCGGGGTGACAGGATCACCGACAAGAGGAGTTCCCTTGGGTTAACGACGACCATTCATGCTGCAGCCATCCATATTTACTGGCTGCTTGACCTTTCCCACTGGTTGCCCAAGATTATTGCCACTTCCTGGCCATAATATTTTATTGTGGTCAGGAGGTGGCATTGTAGCGTATGGATGGTGATCTTATCTGTGTGGAACTTTGTGTGTTATTTCGTTGTATATGTGAGTTTTCTCTGGATACTTTTCCTCCAAAATGAAGCCAAACATTCCATTGCAAAAGAATGACAAAACTCAGTGAGGCTTTTATTGAAAAATAGATATTATTATGTCTTTGACATATTTGTATCATCCCAATTATGGCATGATTTACTTTGACTGTGACGAGTAAAAAGTAATTGTAGAGCTAGGGAAACGTCTCGGAGCATTTTTCGGATGTGTGAAAACATTTAGATTGCAAATTTGTCACAATGGGAACTTGTGGATGTCAAAACACAGTTACACTGTTTATTGTCCATCTTAAAAATACGACGCACCTCTACTCTAAAGTTATTTCTACTTCTCAAAATAAATGCACATCCCAAAAAATACACTTTACTCGATTTTGTGGACTCTATCGACATGTGTTGCTGCTGTTGCGTTTTTTTCCCCCAATAGATGATTGAGCAGATGCTGACGCACCACTGGCAGGGGCTCCAATTGGAACAAATGGAGGCTATGAAGAAATAAGTAATATTAAAAATACTTTTTTTTAAACACGCTTTAATGAAATGTACCGTACTCATAATGGCAAAACTCCACGACTCCAGGAAGTGGCCCCGAAGCTTGCTGTAACGTAAGGGACCATGGTGATTTACAGCCAACATCAGTTGAGTGTGGACAATTAGACCCAAGCCAAAACATAACATATAAAAATATGGTTAAATTTTTTTTTTTTATGATAGAATATAGTATTGTCACCAGTAAGACATAAGTATACGAAGTTTGCAGTCGATACCACATTGGGAAGTGGGTTAAAATTTAGTTACAAGATTTGAGGATACGACAACAACAACAGACAGAGTGAGTTGAATAAAAGCGTGTTAATAAGGAAGAGCAAGAAAGACAAGGTGTTGTGTTTGTCCCCACACCTGTTGACCGCAAAATAAAGGAAGCTTAGAAGCTCCTCCCATTTCCTCTTAAATATCCCCAGGTTTGATTAGGGCTGTGGAAAAAATGCCTTTGCAGTGGCTGCTCCCTCATTATGGAATAATCGTCAGGGAAGCACGAGCACCAATCTGTATGGATCATACTTAAAGTTCCCGGTTACTGATTGTTTGCTTGGCTAAATTATTTTTTTTAGCTTGCTTTATTTTTGTCCATAGAAAATGTAGTTATATTTTTATTTACATTTTTAACCAGTCCCCTATCCCTGTAACATGTAAAGCACGTACTGATACTCGTTGTTTGTACTGCGACCTAAGTAAACATGATTGTAACTAAGACTTGTACCGCATAGCATCTGCCCCGTCGCGCGATGCCTATGAAATAGAGCCGAACAGCTTATTAGGCCCTTCCTGCTGAAATTAAATCAAATGTATTTATCTTTCTATAATGAAGCACATGTTGATAGTACCTCCATTGCCACTGCTGTGTACGGTTGCCTGGTGAGTATTGCATTCAAATTAAGTCCGTATCAAACACATGAAAAGCTGTCGGGATTCAAAAACTAAAATTAAAAATACTTCTGTAAATCTGTCTTTCCGGTAAATGTGTAATACAAATATTCAGTAGTATGAGTATTTTAATACTCACGGTACATTTAAGAATATTTTAGACATGTTTTAAGAACATTTATTAAACACTAGTTTTAAACAGTTTATTTTCTTGTATTGCATTATCAGTGGTGCATAAGCACAAATAACAAGAATTAAACGAATTCGTCAATAACGCTGCCCTAAAAGGAAAATGTATTATAGGTGACATTTAGAGCAATGGCTCTTCTTCATAACATATAGATGAATCACTATTATAGATATTGAAAGTCAAATACCTCTCACAGCTTTACTGATTATCTATTACAAACCACGGGCAGCAAAGGCATCGCACAGCTTGAGACTCTGCCCGCACTGCATTATCCCAGCTGTTATTAGTTTCAAGATCCAGGCTCCTTTTGTGCAACTTTGACTTCAGCCGTATCATTACACACTTGGTTTCTGGACATCTCTAAGCCAGGTAACCAGCACTGCCCAAAGCAGCTGCGTCACTTGCCTACAGTCCACACACTGTGATCACTCCAACCACCTCAATTCCCCATTGAGTGGCAGGGACGCACTTCACCATGAAGAGTAGGGAGCGGCGGTGCTACGAACACAGAAGTTTTGGGTATATTTCAGGCCAAGGCTGCTGTCTGTCGTGGATCGTACTCTCGATTGACTCAGGAATAAATCAGGACATAATGTGTAAAAATATAAATGTACACAGACACACACTACAAATAAATTCTAAACTACATTTGATCAAATATATTATTACATATTTAGTAAATAATGAATGCCTCACACATCCAAAGAAAATAACAAGTGCCATCTTGATCCAGAATCACATTGTTTGGAATGCTTCTGCTGTAATGAATGCAAGTGCCCTTGATGTGTAGCAAATGTGTTGAGATTGCTTATTTTCCTATTTTTTTCAGCTCTTGAAGAGTAGCTGCTCGATTTGGTGGCTTTACACAAATGAGCATCAGCGAACTGCTAGTTTCCACTGCTGACTATAAAAAAATGGAACACCTCCACTTTGTTATACTCTCTCCAAAAGTTATACGTTTGCCGTTGTGTTACTACAACGTCACCAATGAACACTTGCCACAAGACGGCAGTACAACAAAAGTATGGACTCCACGTGTTCTGTCTTTACACAATATTCCCTCGTTCTTCACAAACTTTATATTCGCGATTTTGGTTATCCACGAATCGCATCGGGAACTCTAGACGACTGCATCGAGAGAATGTGATGAGATAAAGTGATGAGAGAGAGCATGGAATGATATGTATTATCTATGAATTTAAGGTAATTCGTTAAGACGATAGGTTTTCGTAGGCCAATATCCGCAAAATGTGCTATTCACAAGCATGTCTGGAACATATCCTTCGCGAATAACAAGGGAAACTGCATGATACCTCGAATGCTCATGTAAACGCTCATTAATTGGCTGAAAACGTCTTAATATATAGGGAACCACACAACTTTGGCAGTTGTTGACGCCAGCTCACCGCCTGGCTGTCTTTCAGCTTCTCTTTGAGAGTGAGCATATACTGTGGCGTGTTACAAGTTGAAATTAATATTATTTCATAAGCACTAATTTATCTACACTGTAAATGTTGGAAATGTTTATTTTTCAATAGGATAACTTGACCCCAGCTTGTGTTTTGAAATAATACAAGTTATGAAATTACACAAGTGTACATATTGGTTACCACAGGACCATAATACATTATTTTTACTGTTGCCTATGAAAACTTGGTAATCTAGTCTGGTAAATGACAAGTCATATCCATCTGTGTGCAGGTTAACTTTATGATTCCACTCCTTGCTAGGAGGGTTTTAGCTTTAAAAAAATGTACAGCATAATTACTGTTTACTGGTTAATCATGTTTGAGTTCAGTTTTTTTTACATATATATTTGGCAAATGATTTTTTTTTTACTTCCTGGGAAGATGGAATATTTTTACAATTGAGTGAAAGGGAACTCTATAGAGTAATACACAACACAGGCCTTGCCCCTACTTTGCATTTATTACCAGTTCAGAATTTCAGAATTTATCAGCAGCAAGGAGTACACTGCGCTGCATAGGTAAATATATGTTGGCTGGTCTAGTAGTGTGTGATACGAGGTGACTATACTTTACTGATGAGTTCTGATAACGATGTAACGATGTTGTCTTCCACCTGTCAGTAAAATTTTCTTAAATAAATGTTGTGATCTAAAACAAGAAAACCACAATGCAGTTGTGGGGGCCTTTGGCCCCCGGGGTCCCTCCCGCCTGCATCCCCTATTCTGTTTACGTTACCCCACCTCCCGAATACCCGCTAGGGTTTCGCCGGCCTTCGGACGCGACGCCCCTACCCATACGGCTTCACGCGGCGCTCCTACGCTGCAAGCATACGTGCGCACAGCATCATCAATCAGACGCCATACTCCCCCTCTTTACACCGCTACGTACAGCTCTCGCACGCTGCGAGCGGGTGCCCGTCTATAGCCCTGTGCGACACTCGCCTCCACGTCGAATAACCACGTTACCAATGCGCACCCGTATCCGACACGTAGCGAACGTACGCGCACTCACGCACACAGCTCCCCGCGGCACTCACCACTGAATACTCGCGTTATGATCGCGCACCGGTATCATACACGGAGTGAACGCCCGCACACACACGCCGCTCCACACGCAGCACACTGCTCGACGCCGCTCTGTGCAGCGCTCCCACGAGGCGAGCCGCAGCACTACACGCGTTCACACCGCTCACGAGATCACACGAGGCCACGATTCGCTATTAATGATTTATTATCTGCTACCTGGTAATTCATGTTAAATCAGTGAGTCGACGAGGCTGGCCCATTCCACTAAACCTGTACCTATTCCCTATTTATCGGTTATGACCCCACTTTTACCTCCTTACTCACCGTTAAGTGTCCACGGCGGTCCGCTGATCCCTGTGCCAACAGCGTACCTCGGTGCGTCGCACGGACGTCCGGGTCGCTGGCTGGAGCTGCGTCTGGTCCTCTGGCGCTGGAGTAAGAGAGCGATTTCCCCTTTGCGCCCCCTATTTATCCTCCCTACATCAAAGGGATGCGGCTCTGAGTTTTTCCTTAACAATTGGCTCGCGCCCCCTAGCACGCGCACGGCGGTTCCGGGCGCTTTTGATATGCTAATCAATGTGCGGCGTGCGCGGCGTAAATCCTAATTAATCCCAACCCTCTGTGACTATGCGCAAGAGCCCCTGCGGTCCCGCTACTCATGCTGCCCCGTCCCTCCCCTGCTTGCCCCGTCGATACATGGGTGGTGTGTGTGGGGGATGCGCTTCAACCGCGGTGGCCGAATGCCCCTCGCCGCAGCCATACCATCTTAAGGCCGGTCGCAGCGCCGCAGTGCAAAGTAGTGTCGGGGGAGGTCGTCCAATTCCCTGGTCGCCGTAAACCGTGAGAGTTAATCCCGATAAGGGTTTCTCGGATAAAAACCGGTCGATCAGGTGACCTTCCCTTCCTGCTCTATGGGGGGGGGGGGGGGGGGGAATGCGTGCGGGTGTGTTCATGTGAGGTGAGGTGAGGGGGACGAGGGGTTGGATCCGTTGCTTGGTGGTGGCGAGGTCGGGAGTGGGGTGCCTGCCGAACGGCTTCGTGGCGGCGGCATCACACAGTTCTGGTTTTTGTATAATGCACAAAGGCTGAGTGTTTTTTTTTCACGTTTTTGCCTGTTTGTGTGGAGCTGGGAGGAAGGTAGAACTCAGGTAGGGAATGAAGCGGCTAATTGGTCTAGCGGAGTGTGATATTGGGAGTGAGGTTAGAGCTCCAGAAACACCTGGGACAGGAGTGCGGTGTCGTGGCCACTGCACTGCCGATTCTACTGGAACGGCTCACTGGTACAAGGGGCTTGAGATTTATGTTGCTGTTTATCTCGTCGGTCTTCATTCAAGCTTCTTGTATAGGATAGTGAAAACAGTAATAATGAACAAAGACATGGATAACTCTGTCTATTGGTCGCTGTCACATTGGTACATAACTGGCAACAACCTAAATTCGAGCCGATTTAGACCGTTAATGTTTGCAAAAAATATACCAAACATAGACAATATTTCATTTTTGGTGTTGGGTTGTTTTTTTAAGTAAATATGAACAGGTACTTAACGTGCATATATTACTAGTTAACTCGCTCATTATAATGTAAGTCACAGCTCATGTTAACCATATACTCTGTAAGCCTTAGCAAAGTGTAGCATATTGAGATTCCAAGTAACTCCCGTGTATAAGCCTGTCACAATGAATAACAAACTATTGTCTGAATGTTGCCGATGAATCCTGTCTGTGAAGCCAAGTGTTTTGGAATGGACGTGATCTCTTTCGCAGGTCGACTCTGCTATTTCGGGGTTGCATGACCAGACCGTTCATAAGCCCAGCGTTCTCCCAACTTCATTCCTCTTCTACTTCCACAGTGAAAATGTTCCTGTTTTACGACTAATCAGGTGTGCGCATTGTGTGTTGATATAATAATGCAATTTTATAATGAGCACAACATGTCACAAATGATTGTGACTCTTAAGGCGTGGGGCCAAGCTCAGTGTCGCTCGAAAGCCAGTCGAGATTTGGGGCCTTAAGAAACAGGTGGGTATTTAAGAAACAGATGGGCCTTCAAAAAAGAGGTGGGCCTTTAAGTCTGTCTTAAAAGTCCGTGTAGATTGAAAGCTGCTGCAATTGTGCAGCGGGATGACGTTCGAGACGGCAGGGTGGGGGAATTGGGGGGGGCAGCGCCACCCAAGGCCTTGCTGGTGAACATGCAAACAAAGACACTGGTAATACTGTATATGCATTGTCTTTAAAGCTGATTGGTCCACACCAGAGACAGCTTTCTTTAGAGCTATAGTCTTAAACAGTGTTGATAATGGTTTATCTGTGTATTTTCGCTGCAGAAATCGCGGATCAATTATGTTATTCAATTGTAATTAAATACTAAAATGTTTTCAATATAAAACACTTATTTGTGTTAACATCCCCTATTGTAAAATTACTTTTGGCCAATCAACTGGACGGAAAGAAACAGCGTTACATTTTGGAGGCGAGCAGCGTGTGTGCGGACGCCGCGAGTGCGCGGACGTGCGTGTTGTGGAGTGAGGAGTGCTCATAGGGGCGCACGCGTAATACTCCCAGGGCGGTAGTGAGCCAGCCAGTGAACGATGTCCCTCAGAGAGGTCATTGGCGCGGCGGGGGGGGGGGGGTCCGATCACCCGATCGGCGGGGGCCCGGCGAGAAGCGGCCGAGGAGGAGGGGAGAGTGAAGGGGGTGGAAATCGCGCCCCGCCCGTTCAGGGGAGCGGTGAGGTGGGCGTCAGCCCCCCACACAGACGCATACACAGAGAGGGAGACAAACAGAAACAATCACTGGACATCTTCTTGGTTCTTTCGGTAAAGTCACGTAGAAGGGAAAGAATAAAAATAAAACATAATAAAATAATTCTCACAACGTTTCGGCCACAACGCAAGCAGCCGTCCTCAGGTGAAGACCAGGTCTGTCGGCAAGACAGCTGCTTGCGTTGTGGCCGAAACGTCGTGAGAATTATTTAATGTTTTATTTTTATTCTTTTATTATTTCCCTTCTACGTGACTTTACCGAAGGAACCAAGAAGATGCATCCCTGCAGTCACGAAAGCTTTAAATCGAAATTTAATCACTGGACAATTGCAGGCATAGGCATGAAGAAGGGTGATAGACAGGGACAGCCAACGAAGGACAGACGCAGATACAAGAAGAGAGATCAAAGACACGCAGATACCCGGATACGGACAACCAAAACACCTCTGGTTCCGAGAGACACGGTTCAAGAGGAACGGAGCCACACACCTAAGATGAAGTCCAACCCCCCTGACCATGGTGAAGTATGGGGCCGTCCATAAATGACGTCACGCGATTTTGGAAGATTTTTGACCCCCCCCCTTCGTCACACGGCGTCACAAAAAGTCAGACCCCCCTCTAATATGACGTCACAAAGCTCTGCCCCCCCAAATAAAACATGCTTAAAATCGCTTTAAACTATTGTCATTGTAGTGCGTATTTAATGTGGCGCTGCAACTCTGATGTTGTAGGAGAAACATTTATTTAAAAGTCTATTTAATTAAGTAGAACGTGTTGTCTATATTTACTTAAAGTTGCGCATTTTGATGTGACGTCACATTTCTCAACCCCCCCCCCCCTCGTCACACATCGTCACAAATGTCTGACCCCCCCCCCCCCCCGCCAGGTGCTTGACGTCATTTATGGACGGCCCCTATGGTAAAGCAACCCCTATGACCGACACTAAGCAGTGGATTGGCAAAGGGCTTTATGTACGTGAATGTTGAACTTCTTTCGTGGCGTACAGAGCCAACCGTGAGAATCGGAGATGCGGGAAAGAACAACGAACTAAACACAACACATTGCTATAACCATTATTATTGTCGTCGTTAGTTTGCATTCGTTGTTAAACTTACCAGCACCATCACCCCACCCCTTGCCAGTGGAGCTCAGAAGCAAACCCACTCGCAACGCTACCGTGAAATGACGAACTCGTAACGCGTCACAGTCCACAGGCAATGTGGTGGGTGGGGGTAGTGGGTGGGTGGTAGTTGGGGAGCGGTAGCTGCACTACGAACCCGGCGACCAGAGCTCGATTCCCGCTCACGGCTAACACCTGTGACGATGATCTGAACAGGTCCTGAGCTTCCCCTAGGTGGACTCAGCCTCAAACCAGTCCGTGGTGTGTTGTGTCACAGCATCACGGGACTGTGACGCGCCACGAATTCGTGACGCGTCACAGTCCCCGTATGCGCGTGAGTGGCTCGGACTGAGCTGAGCTGGCGTTCCAGTTGTCCGCAGGCGATGTGGTGGGGTGGAGGGGTGGGGTGGAGGGTGGGTGGTGGGGTGGTGTGGAGGGGTAGGTGGTGGGTTGGAGGGGTGCGGGTGGGGTGGAGGGATAGGTGGTGGGGTGGAGGGTTGGGCGGTGGTGACGTCGACTGATCCGAAAATGAGTACCTGGTGCGGGGTGCAAACATCACCACGAGGGAGACAAAGGTGGCCGTGCGGCGTGGTGTTGACCACCCACCCCCTCGAGTGCCGTGCCGGCCTTCATAGGTGCTCGCTAACGATACTTGCACCAACAGTGTGTTTAGGCCATACGGGGGCATCTTTGTCTTTAGTGTTGACGTG